TTTCTCTGTTATATATTTTATTTTGGTAGCTTGGTTATATATATTTTTTTTTGCTTTTGTAAACAACATATTTAACAACAATTGATACATTCAAAATATATGTAAAGCCTGACACTTACTAACACATCTAAAATTAAAAAAAAATCTTTGTTTTGTGTAAAATTGTAAATATGTATTTTCTTTCACACATTTACACATTTAAGTAGCTTTCTTTTCTATTTTTACGGTTTTATGTAGGTTTGGCTTGATTAGATTTTATTCTGTTCAGATATGGCAGTAAATCTAATAATTTAAATGTTTGACAATGTTGCAATAAAAATTTCTATTAAATGATTAATATTACAGATTTTCGACCATTTATAAAATTCAATGCTACACCCTTGAACTGAAATGTCTATTTTATCCTTAATGTGCTATATTTTTTATTTTAATATGTCAAAATCTTGGTGATACACTAACAGTGGCAAATTTCATCAGCAGAATCTCTTTTAGTAAACTTCTTTTGTACAAGTATATTCCAATATTTAACTTGTAGACTGTAATCAGAACCAAATGATGTTAGTCAGATCATCTTAAGTCTCTTAATTTTGTGTTATTAAATTCTATAGGTATATTAAAACTTTCAGGCACGATTTATCTTACCTTTCAGATCGTTTCCTCTAAATCATTCTGATCTCCACTCCAAGTACAATGTGCTATAAATGTCTAAAATTTTTATACAGCTTAAGATAACAGTAACAGTAGTTGTACATCAGATAACATGTTGCTTGTTGTATAGCTATCGAATAATAACATAAGTTTACAGATCTTTTTCATCTCCTATCATACCGAGTAATATAAAGTACTAGACTATAACAGTAAGTGTCTATGTACATTCGTTTTAAGAACATGATCTCCTTCTCGAATTTTTATCATTATAACTCACTTATTACTAAAAATATCATTCTAGCTCTCTTTCACACTTATTTAACTGTAATTAATAATGCGGGTACAATTTTAAGCATACTATGACTGTTTATTCGCCATTAGTGAAGTTGATTTAACCTAATATTTAGGTAACATAATTATACATACTTAATGCTTAGGAATTTTTCTTACACTGGCCGCTGAGTTCGTTAAAACACTACTATATAATTATTATCTAAATTTTATAATTAGTTTGTCACGTAATTTACCTTTCTTTTAACGAATTGTTGGACCTATTGGAACACAACTTATTTAACTCAGACGAAGTATTTACAGAAGTACTCTCCTGACTAACAATTAAACTTATTAGGAGAACGTAGAGTATAAATAGTTCGCTTGTAATAAGTTTGTATTTCAGTAAAGCATCGCTGAAAAAGCATATTTTTGATTATTAATCATAAAATATATTATTTTCAGTAAAAAAAAATAAAATAAAATTGAGGGGATAACAATTCACCTGAGATACAGGGTAAGGTGTATAATGGGAATAACAATTTTTCTACAACATTTAAGGCGGTAGTATCCTACGAAAACGACATCAAAGTAGGCGTTGAAATCACGTTCAGTAATAGCATTACCTATGTCTATCGTTAAGTCCTTCACTGTTACGTATGTGCCACGACTTAAAAGCTATCGGCGAATTTGCTAATGGCGTAGGCGAAAACACCGTCACTGTATGTGTCTTGCGATGCATGTCTTTGATTAGGGCTCAATTCCTGTATGGAATACGTATGGACATGTGTTGTTGACGTTCGACGCTATGAAATGACACTATTAGCGAGTTCAGCAAGGGCACTGGCGACTTCGCTGATAGCGTTCAAGTCGTGGCCCAGCATTACAGTAGCGGCTGATCCGGGTTAAGTGTGTGCGAAGCGCCACGCAGCGAAGCAAGGCGAAATCCGTGCATTGGATTAATTGTATGTGTTATAATATATATCCACAGACCAAGGCGATCCAGGGACTAATAACGAATACATTACAATTAATTACAATTAATAACAAATTGTTTATAATTAATTGCAATTAATTACAACCCTCGGCTTGACGCGATCCGCGGATTAAAACGAGTACATTACAATTAACACAATGCACCGTTTTCCGCCGTGCTTTGCTGCGTCGCAACTCAAACCAAACCAAATTAACGTTAAGCTTCAAATATCGATACTAACTCACAAGGAGCTATCACTATCAAAGTAAAAAAACAGCGATAGATAGAAATCTCAAAATAAAATGATATTCTGCGCCGACTGATCGTCAGTTTTTAAAACTTATCTTCTAGTGGAATTTTAGCCTTGGTCCTACACAAGAACATTATAAAATGGAAAACAAACTTCTTACAGTGGTAGATAATGTAATTCCTATGCCTAGAGGTCAATTGCCGGGCCTGTATAATAATTTATATCTTATTACTAGACTTTAATTATTATATATTAATTATATATTTGTTTAATTATTGTTGAAATCATGACAATCATATCATATGATTGTCATACAGAAATAAACTGTTATTATTGTTGAAATATCATAAATATAAATTTGATAAAATAAAACTTTACCAAATAAATATATGAAAATTGATCCCATTATTCAATTTAATATTTGAAAAATCAGCTGTAGTAAAAAATATGCGAAATTGAATTATTTTTGTTCAGCAGTTTGTCCCTAAAATGTTTTAGGAATAGTTAACGGACTTATGATAATAGTTAATAGTCGTTCATCTTAAATCTAATCTTAAAACTAATTTTGATTTTTTGAAAGTGAGAAGTAGATCATTTTCTTAGGAGTAAATTTTAAAATTGTGTAGGCCTTGAGCTGTAATTATGACTAATAACGGCAGTCGTTATTAGTAGTAAATTTTAACTTATAACCACATATTACCATAATTATAACATCAAATAGGGGGCATGTACATGGGACATACCGTCGCTTTCAACACAAAGTATCATAAGTGACATTTTTGAAAATTTTGCAGCAGAGCGAAAAAAACGTCTTTTAGTGTGATCTAAAAATCAAATTTTGTTAGATACGCCATTTATTTTGTCTGCCACAGCATAAAAGCCTTTGCCTGTTACAATGAAGAAGTTACATAAAAAATTAAATTAAGTTTTCTTTATTAGAAATTGTGGTGAACCGAAAAAAAATGGACACGTGTTTTTTTATTTTTTTTTCCTGGTTCAATTATTTCGAAAGTTAGAAGAGTTTTTGTTTTTAATATATAGATATACTGAGCGTGGCGTGACGTTTTTTTTTTCAAAACTTTAATATAATTTAATATATATAATAATTTCCGTCAATATTCAACGTACGAAAAAAAAAATACGTGTCTGTTTGTTTCCATTGTCTATCAAAATTAATAATAATTTTCTTTAAGTAAGTTCCCTATTACGACACTGTCAGGACTGTTAGATCACACGAAAAGACGTTTTTTCCGCTCAACCGTATAATTTTCAAAATGTTAGTAAGACAGTTTGTGTGGAAGACGAGGATACATTTAAATTGCCAAGAAATATTTTTTAACAGTTCTTTAGCAAGTTATTTTAGGGCAATTTAAAAGGTACATTAGAACATTTACTTAACAACGGTTGGCGACGATTCATAGCACTTGGTCTAAACCCTGTAAAATTATTTTTAGTTGAATTTAAGCCCTGAAAAGTTTCACCTGAATTTCTAGATGACTAAAGGGAGCTTATTACACTTATCTATTACACATATAGAAAATGGATCTAAAAAAATAACATTAAGGCATTTTTTCCACAGAATTATTTTTTGTGGTAGTAACACATTTATGAGATTTCTTGTCAACCGTCTTGTTTTTTTTTCTATCCTAAATGTTGATAATTATTCTTTAATTCAATATCACGTTGAGAATATTTGTTTTCTTAGAGTTTTTAGAATTCACAGTTTTTGATTTACTTTTCGTCATGTCGAAGTTTTATTCTAATGATATGTTTATTGTATTTGAACCTCCCTTTAGTCAACTGTACTTGTACAATAATTAACGATGTAATATGTAATCATTTGAATGACCACTATTTTAAAATGCTTCAATGTCTGGATATAAGCGTTTAACCTTGATTCCTAAATATAATGAAATGGACATTGAAAATGTTTTGCTGTTCGATTATATAGGTTAATTTGTAATATAATGAGTGCACATATACTTTTTTTGGTTATTTGAGAGCGCATAATTTAAATAATTTTTTATTTCTTTCATTTAGTTTATAAAAAATCAAAATAATAAAAAATTGTGGTTTATTGAAAACTAATTATATCAAAAGGATCATAAGCAATTATACCATAGTCGATAGCCACAGATATTAAATGTTAGAGTTATGAGATTCGCGCTAAAATTTTCTCATATCTCTATGAAAATAAAAATTTAGAGAAAAAACTTTCTATAAAATAATACAATCTGCCCTCAAATATTTTGTTATAAAATATCTTAAAATTAATTTTTAGAATTAATCAGAAGATATTCTCATGCAACGCTACTTTATATTGATATTTTTTTTATAAATTTGCGATATAGCACAAAGAAGTAATTATTGTACATTATTTTACAAGGCCTAATTAGTGTTTACATTGATATTCTCCTGATAATATTTTTAGATCCAATATTTTTCAATGTGCTCTGTGATGGTACTATCTAAAAATATTATTAGGGCCATTCAAACTTAATTTTTAACCTTTCTTACTTTATTAAAAATTATTATGGATAGATCATAACTTTAATTAAGATATACTAGTGTTTCTTATAGATTTTGTGCGTCTGAATATTAGAATATAACATTGTTTGGGTGTTTCGGACGCTTGCGTCATCAATTTTTGGGCGAGTACATAATTAATACTGTACCTCTATTTATGCAAGCAAATACTTTGTTTCTTTCCCTCCTTTTTGTATTTTAAATCATATACAATCAAACCAAATATAAAATCATGTATAGAAATTATTGTCGCATAAATTATTGTCCACTCAGTATAAAATGTTCAAATTAAAAACGAAAATAATGAAGGAAAAATAAAAATAAACCAACTAAAAAATAATCTATCCTCTTTATTTTTGAGCATATAGAAATCTAAACGTAGAACAATAACATAACTAAAAAATAAATAAATGAAATCAATCAAACATAATTTAGAAATACTAAAATATTTACATTAACCGATTAAAACTTTTAAGTACAATTTTTTTCGGAAATCTTATCAAGTTGGAACATTGCACATTAGTTCAAAGAAAACACTAAATAAAATATGACAATAAATGCAATAGGTATTTGTCAAGACAATTCTATTTCACATCCCGGTTTGAAGGAATTTTTGGCGTTAATTGATGAAGAGGTATTCTAAATATAATTTCTGTACAATAAAAATGAGGGATGTGAAATACATTTCTTTGTGTCCATAGGAAAAAGGATATGACATGAGTCGATTTTCATTGGCAGAGCTACATTTTAAGAAAAGGGCCCCCAAATATAATATCAAAAATTTTAGTTTGTAGAGAAATTCTCGAAATTGTTAAATCTAAATAATTTTGCAAAAGTTAAACTGACCGACGTGACGTCGTAATTTGAACACAGATTTAACTTGTCTCCAAAATTATAAACTGTTTACTTTAATTTTTACACTAGTATTACTGTATAATATTTAATTCTGGTAGTAGTTTGTTCTGTGCTGTTCTGAATTATTGAGACAACCATATGATTTTGAGATATATGGTCCTTAGTGTCACATACGTAAAAAAAGTTATTTAAGTTAAATATCAAAATTAATATAAAATATTGTTTTCGCTTTTCCGTGAATCTCTTTGTTAATTAAATGTAATTTTGAGATTAAATTTTAATTTTTTCAACAAACCTTAAAGAATGTTAGAGATACATCATAATTTTTAAGGTATGTCCTTACTTAAAATAGTATATTATTCACAAGGAGCATATAATGATGGCTGTTATTCACGCGGATGAAGTTTATGACACGAGCCGCAGGCGAGTGTCATAAATCATCCAAGTGAATAACAGCCATTATATGCGAGTAGAATACTATACTTTATCCAGGACTATCAAAAAATTTTAGATAATATTAATATAAGTTCTTATTTTTAATGTCAAAAAAATAATGAACGAGTATAACGAGTAAGTAAAATGGAAACAAAACAATGAAATTTCGTTTAACTAGGGAGTCGTGGATAAAATTATTTTATTTACCAAATTTCACAAAATCGACTGAAATATTCTCCAGCCTTCTATTATATTAGATATATCAGAATTTTTGTATTGTGGTTCGTAGTATCAAAGAATTATTTGACAATTACCATTTCACAAAAAATCCAAAACTTCGGCGTTTTTAAAAATATTTACGGAATCTCAAAGATATTAAGAAATATATGTGGACTTTGGTGTATCAAACAATTAGTTTGACAACTAAATTTCTCAACCTTCAGTGTTGTCGAAACTACTCAACTATCTTCAAAAAGTATTAGAGAATTAATGGCTTTTTGAGCTGTGGGCCATAGTAACAAAAAATTAATTTGAAAACTAAGTTTAACGAAATCCCCCCAGTGGTTTAGGAAACATTCAACCTCAAAAATATTAGAGATATAAATAAATATCTGTATTTTTGAGGTTGGTCAATTACCCTCAAATAACTAATGTTAAGAAAACATCTTAGACTTCCCCGTTTTCAATTTAATATTCTACTAAACACAAAAACATTAGAGATATATCTGGATTTTTTTGGTGTGGACCCGTAATATCAAATAATTAATTTGACAACTAAATTTAACAAAACATCTCAGTTCAACACCAAAAATTCAGTGTTTTCAAAAATATTCAATTAACCTCAAAAACTATTAGAAATATATCTGTATCTTTGAGGGTTAGTCAATAATCCTTTAACAAAACCCTCAAACATCAGTGTCTTCAAACATACTCAATTAACCTCAAAAACTATTAGTGATGTATCTGCATCTTTGAAGGTTGGTCACCAGCCCTCAAATAATTAATTTGACAACTAAATTTAACAAAAAAAACTCAAAATTCGTTGTTTTCAAAAATATCCCACTAATCCCACTAATATCCCAATAAAATAATAGATATATCTGGATTTTTTAATGTCAAAAAATAATTTCACAACTAAATAAGAACCCTCAAACATTAGGGCCTTCAAAAATATTCAAATCATCTCACTAGAAACTATTAGAGAGATTATTATTTATATTTTCATCTTTGGGGGTTCCCAGCCCTCAAATAATTAATTTGACAACTAGGTTTAACAATAAAAACTCCAACATCGGTGTCTTCAAAAATATTGAACTAATCTTAAATATAGAGATACAGTCTGACAAATGGATCTGTAAAAGTTAGAAACTTTATAACATTACTTTAAATTTACCTAGGGTAAACCAGCTAGTTATTGGCACTTTAAAGACGTACGATGATATTTTATCTAACGGAATCTTTAAAAATACTTTTTTTTTGTCCGGATCTTGTTAGTCTACTCTACTATAATTTACTTTAATGTAACAATATTTAGTTTTTTCTATTTTAAATCTCAAATAAAGATGCAAAATTCTCACAGTAAATAACATGATCATAGTAGATTTTGAAAATAAGGATTAGGGCCAAAATCAAAAACCGAAAACAAAAGTTCAATTTTTTATGATACAACACCTAAAAAAAATATTTAAAAATATTTCTTCGTTTTAAACAAGTAACATGGTACACTCTAATATAATTCTGACTTTTTATTAATTTTATTCGCAATTGCCTTTTTCGACATCTATTGTTTTTTGAAACGGGATTTTTATCCTCGGAATTAAAAATATTAAAGTGGTGTGACTGTATTAGTAGGCGCGACTCTTGGCGTTGGACGTGAAAAAGTTTCTTTAAGTTAGGCGTTGTCTTTATTATAAACGCGCCAAAAAAGCATGATTTTTTCTATCTTACTAAAAAATTCGATGCTTGAAATAAATATGGCGATTTGATTCAGTATGTCCAGATTTATTTTCAAAGTTTAGAGTGCCAATAACTTGCTGAGTGCCACTAACTGGGTAGTTTACCCTACGTTTTATTTAGTGATTTCCTAAATATAGTAATATTTGTTAAAAGGCGTGTACCTTACTAATTATAATATGCTCTACCCAAGTTAAAGGCATAAAATACATTGAAATAACACCGCCACTGGGTATTTCAATACTAGTCGATATTTTACTATTTCTAGAGAGCTGTGTAAAATTGGAGGTAGAACATTGGAAAATATAGGAGAATTAAATTTATACGTATATCGAGAAATTTTGCTTTTGTATAATTAAACTTGACAATGTGAATTTTTTGTTGATATTTATGATTATATTTTTTTGTGAGATATTACATCTGGGTTTTTTGATGTGGTAACTATAAAAATATTTTTTTCGATAATTTTGGAGATTTTATTTTTTGCAGGTTTTGACGTTTTCCAATATTAAATAATTTCGAACTTGAAACAATATAATAAGTTCTATTATTTCATTTTGTGATATTTATTGCTGAAAATTCTAAAATTATAATTTCAGATATATCTATATTTTTGAGTTCTAAAGTCCGCCAGTATTAGAAATTAATTCAATAAGGTAATTAATTCATTAATGAAAATAATTTTAGATTAGGGTGGTTATAGTTCTAGCTAAACTGGTAGGTTGTTTGAACTCCTGATATTGACTTTTGAAGTTTTCACAATATTAAGAAAGAATATTTACTAGGTAGGGTACTATATTCGAATAATTTGTCATTTTTGTTTATTCAATGTCATATCCTTTGTAAAAAATGAGAAAATAAATGCTTTATATAATTACAATGGAAGAGCGGCCTGTACGAGACAAACCTTAAGGTCCTTAGCCATGTGCGAAATGTCAACAATCGAATCGATCATTTCCTGGACCGCATTGACCGATGGGAATTGCTGAGCTGCCTGTTTGGTCTTGTTCACGCTGGTCGCCAGAGCATCCGAAAGAGCGTTGGCGCAACTCAGCGCCCGATCCTTGATATCCTTCCTCGAGACATTCCTGGACACCGTATCACCGATATTGACCAGCTTGTGAGCGCTGAGCACCACGAACTTGCCGTGAGCGAGGAATATTTTCGGAGGTTGATTGTGCTCAACCGTTTGCAAAAACGAGTCTATGGCGTGGGTGAGATTGGTGTGATGGGTGACGATTTGGGCGGCGAAAAAAGTGAGCAGTTTTTTGTCGTCCTGTCCTAATTCTTTGAAGTCGGCCTCGAAGGCGACATCGTCCGCGTGCTTCACGCAATGGTCGTAGCCCTTTTTCAGTTCTTTGGGCAGTTCGTTGATGATCTGGGTGTGGTTTTTCGCGATGTTATCCTTCGAATCGAAAGTGACGTAGTCGTACTCTTCGGTCGGTTGGATGGTGGGGGTGGTGGAGGAGGGTTTAAAAAGCAAAAGTCCGTTGCCCTGGATAAAGGAAGCTATTTGTCGAACGTCTTCCGTTAAGGCTCTGGCACAGGCGATCAGCTGTTCCAGTTCGTCGGGTGTGTACGACTTTTCTCCAGATTCAGGTTTGCACAGCCGATCCACCGACCAGCTGTGCTTATCCAGGCTCTCCGAAGCGGTACGTATCAGCGTGTCTGATTTTCGTAACGCCGATACTAGAGGTGCTAGTTTCACGACCAAGTTCTTATCCGACGCTTTGGCCGCGTTGCCTAACGAGCCCTCGCCAAACTCTGCCAAGTCGTGTAACGAAGTCTTCAGTCTCGTCACCGTCAGTTTTATCTCCATCACTGTGTTGTCCAGCTTCTCCCTACTGCGCCAGTTCGGACTAACGAAACCGAGCAACTTCGAAATCGCGCTCATACTTTCAGTCTGTAATCTCTCTAAATTTTCCAAAGCTGAATTTAGCTCTAGCGGCAGCTCTTTCAGCTGCTGCTGGGAGGAAGGAACATCGTACGTCTGATAGGGGGAGGGTGAGGAAATTTGCGTAGGCGTCGTGTTGACCAACTGCGGGCTTCGGATTAGGGGTCTAGGAACGTCGTAGTCGGGCATGTTGGCCATGCTGCTTCGGTTCGAGGAACTTAACGAATGAGAGTCGGCGGTCAGTGAGCTGGCCGAGCTGGAGGGCGTCAACTGGTTGATGTGGTGCGAGGGCCTGGGGATGTCGTAGGCCTCCCCCGATTCTCGACTTACGGGGGAGACGCAAGATGGCGCGGGGGAGCAGCGGGGGCAGTTCCTGAAGCTCTCATTACCGACGGGTACAGCTCTGGGAGGAACGTCGTAGCAGTCGCCGCCGGGAGGGTCACGCGGGCTGAGGCCGGGACTGAGTCCAGGGACCGGAATGGAGGAGCATCTTGAAGGAGGCATGTCGTACAGGTAGACGTCATTGAATTTTTTCGGTGTTACCACCTGAAAACAATAAACTAATATTAAAATACAGTAAATAATGTCTATACTTCTGTAATAGTTAAAAAAAGGAAAGGTTAAAATGTTTATTGGTTGGTGCAAATTTATTTACAAGTGAAGAATCAAATGACAACCTCGTTTCTCTGTGGATTTTCAAACGGTTTCAAAAGACTGCAATCTCAGCAATAAATTTTACAAATATTTAAGTAATAATTCAATAAAATACAAAAAAATAAGTAATAGCATTAAAATATGGAAATAATTCCTATTAAGAAAAAATATAAAATATGATATGGTAAAAAAATACGGTAGAGACTTACAAACTATCCTATTATTTTTGCAACAAAATCAAAATTATCCTACATTTTTAATAATTATATGTCAAAGAAGATTGATTTTTGCCAGTAATTTTAACTTTATTGAAACTTTATATTACAAATTAATAATATTATTAATTTGTGATTATTATAAAATAATATTATTAAAATATAATATAAACATTTATTAATGACTTCGAAGTCAAAGGAATTTAACTAATGCTTTGTGATTGGTAGATACGTTAATCTTTATTTATGTAATTGCCGTTCAGAATTACTTTATATGGTTATTCATTTCTATTTTAAGCCATGCGCTTATATTTTTTTCAGGTAAATTACTCTTACCGATAAGATATAACCTCGCCTACGCATTCAGATACTCGTATTTTCATGATGTAATTGAAAATATCCAATCAATGAGTATACTTAGAAATAATATTTCAGCAATACCATTAAGGAAAGAAGTTGATAATTTTGAAATTGCAATTTTTTATAAACGTATAGTATTCCAGAATGTAATATTAAGTGGTTCTAAATTAATATACAAGTTCTTATTCATCGGGACATGTAGGTACATAAAAAATGGCTACACACTTGAGTTACCGGGTGTTGTGCATCGTCGGACGGGTCATAGCAAATCCCATGTAAATTTTAATGGGGTCAATTATTGGCTTCCCTAATTATTTTAGAGATTAATTCTATTTAGGTTTACTGAAGAGCACTAAAACCCACATTCAAAAGAATAACTTTAGATATTTTTGATTACCTCGTTTACGAGTTATCGCCGATTTCTTTTTAAATATTTCTCTATTTCTATTATATGTATAATTTACCCATTTAGTGCTTTATTATTATTGAAAACTCATTCCTACATCGGAAATCTTAAAGATGTATTTATAAATACAAATTAATATGAATTAAAGTAAAATAAATTAATCAATTACAAGGTTAATTATAGTATTATTACAATATTCAATATACCAAACCAAACTTATTAATTTAGGTACTATTAAATTGTTAGAACTTCAGGATTTAAGAAGATGTTGAAATATTCCTCCATCGACTACTAGACAATAACCTAGGCGATCATAAAATTCTCTTCTTACATTCGCTAGTTGGTAAACTGAAATTCTATTGCATTCGGCAGAAATAGCATTTTTGTAACTCGTCTAGATTTGGGTACTTTTTATCCTTGTATATCCTGTTTTTTAAATGGCCCCAGAGAAAGAAATCATTTGGCGAAATATCAGGAGACCTTGCTGGCCAATTTACTGTATGATTTAGGCCAATAACGTTTCCGTTAAAACTATTGTCTAAATATTCCCGAACAGCCAGGGTACTATGTGCCGGGCAGCCATCCATTTGGTACCAAACTTCCTGATTTTCCCTAGCGGCATCATGTAAAGCAGGTAAAATTTGATTTTAATGAAGAAATAATGGCCCGATAATATTGTGTCCGAATATCCCTGCCCAAACATTTACTTTCTGTGGATATTGCTTCCTTGTTTCGACAAACCTGTGTTGGTTTTTTTTGTTATCGAAAATTTTGAACATTGGGTTCATTATTTAAGGTAAACGTGCATTCGTCAGTGAAACATATGTTTTTAAAAAATTCCCTATCCGTGTTTGCTCTTTCCATCATATCAAAACAAAACGCCTGCCGCCGTATTTCGTCCCCATCTCGTAGCCCTTGGTGCTTTTCATATTTGAAGGAATAGTATTTATGTCGTTTCAAAATTCGAAACGCTGTAGTGTGATCTATTCCTATTTCATCCTCAAGTTTCCTTGTGCTGATCTTTCCATCGTTCTCTTCCACGCACAATAAAACTTCCAAGTCGGTATCATTTCTTGCATCTTCTCTTTGTTCCTGCCTTGCTTCACATCTGCAGTTATTTATTAGGGTACCTTTGGTCTCAAATCTCTGGATATTCCTTGCGATTGTAGATTTTCCAGGTATCGGTCTATTCGGATACAGAGCAGCAAACATGTCCGACACCTTTTGATAACTATTTCCTTGATAATACCATTTAATCATCAATACTTTTTCTTCGGTAGTGTAATTCATGGCTAATATTTTCGATGTAGGTATGAGTTTTTAATAATAATAATAAAGCACTAAATAGATAAATTTCTGAAATGACAACTTCATTTGACAGTTATCTTTTACCTTGACTGGTGCTCATAAGTAAATACAGGGCCATAAGAAAGGAGAAATATTTAAAAAGAAATCGGCGATAACTCGTAAACGGGCTAATCAAAAATATCTAAAGTTATTCTTTTGAATGTGGGTTTTAGTGCTCTTCAATAAACCTAAATAGAATTATTCTCTAAAATAATTAGGGAAGTCAATAATTGAGCCCATTAAAATTTACATGGGATATCCTATGTCCCGCTCGACGATGCAACACCCGGTATAGCACTTTTCTGAATAAGAAAGGAAATATTAAAAATTTAGGTTTAGATATTATTTAAAACTTATTAAAAATAAAGTTTATTACCCAAAGCCTTAAAAATACCGGTTTTGTACAATTCGATAAAAAAACCGGCGTCAGCGATGGTTATGAAATGAAGATGGCTGTCATTTTTTACATGTAAAACTATATGGAGACTCGTCGACTCATCGATCGTCATTTCCAAGCCAACTGAACGCCGTTTTTTTTTCGATCATACGGTATATATTAATGTCTGAGAAACTAAATACATAAAACTGCGTACAATGAAAGTAAACGGTAGTAAGTTTTACTTTAGAAATCCTAAGCGATAACAATTAATTCACCGTATAATTTTTACACACAGAATTGCCATTTATATCATACAGTCTTACTTCATAAAACAGTAGATTCGGAAAAAATAGACTTAGAAAATAGAAATAAATAGGAGAATTTGAATTGAAAAACTTCAAATGTAAAATATACGAGGTACTGCAAAAAGTTAAATATAAAACTTATATGGTTTTTAAATGTCTATTGGTGTTGGCGAGTAATAAATTTATGTATATACGGTCGGTCATAAAGCCGTGGCCCATCAAAGTTTCATTTTTTTAAATAGAACCCCTTGTATATTATTGTATATTTCAATTCTTCCTTCGATTCTAAGCAAAAATCGACATACACACAATGGACCTCAAACCAACTGTTTTCCAGTTATTGACTTTTGAACATATCAGTTATACATCTCAGCATGAAAATTTCGATGCGTTTAGTTTCATTTAACGATGCCATTTTGAAGAAACTGTGATACTTAATAACATTTGACATTAGTTGTCAAGTTACCATTTATAGATGTATAAAATGAGATTAAATCCAAGTCTGAAAATTACAAAATTTTCGTCTAATATTTGGAAATTAAAACTCGGAAATGGTTGAATTTAGGTACAATATGTGTATTACGATTACTGCTTAAAATTGAAGAAAGAATTGAAATATGCAATGTTATATAGAGGGTTGCATTTAAAAAATAAATATTGATGTGCCACAACTTTATGACCGACCCTGTATACTTAAAGTTATTACTAGCTAGTAAACATTTATAAACCCTATAACTTTTGTATTTAACTTTTTTGCGATACCTCGTATATTTCACCCAATAATCGTCCGTTTCCAGACATATCAGTGACTCTGTATAATTTAAGCTAGTAATAAGAAGAATCCATTATTTATAATCTCTAAATACTAACAACAGTTAATTATGTTTACCAATATCACGGTAATGACATAAATTTTTGACTTACATTTTAAAAATGACACAAATGTTTTGCACACTAAATGCATACTTAGAGTAGTGTGTCTAATAGTGTACAGAGAAGTGTACCTCGGAGAAACCATAATATCAATAATATTCTTTATCTATCGATCTTGATTAAACCAAAATTGATTGATTTGATTAAACCAAAATTGTTGTATTGATTGTAACCGAAATAATTCAAAAACGGTAAAAGCAAAAATAGACAAAGCATATATTATGTGAAATAGGAAGAAAAAAAAAATTCAAAACACTTAAAATATACAGGGTGTTAAAAAGGGAAAATTGCAAATTTTTCTTAACTTTTCCGATCGTTACTTATTTATTTTTATTTCACTTTTTGAGAATTACCTTAACAACTCTTACATTACTCTAAGTTTTTTATTACCTCCAATTGGAATCCCATTAAATTTCTCCGAATACCCTGTACAGGGTGGGTCAAATTCGACGCTTTTAAAGGGAAACACCCTTTTCTATTGAAGATAGACGAAAACCGAGACGAAAACTAATATCGGTGTCTGGAGCTCAATTTTTATCAAAAACATGATGGTGAAAACTGCACATCGCTATCTGTTACCGTTTCGGAGTTACGGGGTGTTTTTCGAAAATGTGCATTTTTAAGAAATCGCTGTAACTTTTTTGCTATGGAAAATTTTGTATTTTTATGAAAACATTTCCAAAGTATCTTTGTACGTAGAATTTAATGGTTTAAGTATAATTTTTTAAAATTAATAATTTAAGAGTTATCAACAGAAAAATTGATTTTTTATTTGGGACACCCTGTATATTTTTAATTAAATGAAAAGAACTTAAAATTACCTTCCCAAAAATATATCAACTTGATATTTTGTTATACTCCTCTTAGAAATACAGAACTTTTTAAAGTTCGCCACTTTTAACTTAACTAGTAGGCTTTGGACCCCTTATTGATGATCTGTCCCTAAT